CGAAGAAATTCCAAGAGAAAGAGAGCGCATTTGAATCAGAATTAGCATTCCTGTCGCGGCTTCATCACAAGCATTTGGTTAGGCTCGTGGGGTTTTGCGAGGAGAGGGATGAAAGGCTTTTGGTTTACGAGTACATGAAAAATGGCGCGCTTTATGATCATTTGCACGACAGGGACAATGTGGAGAAGAGCAGCAGCGTGGTGAATTCTTGGAAAATGAGGATAAAGATTTCACTGGACGCTGCTCGGGGCATCGAGTACCTTCACAACTACGCAGTTCCACCCATAATTCACAGAGATATCAAGTCATCCAACATATTGATCGATGCAAATTGGACCGCCAGAGTCTCTGATTTCGGATTATCACTAATGGGTCCAGAGTCGGAGCAACATTTTAGGCCGACCAAGGCAGCTGGCACAGTAGGCTACATTGATCCAGAGTACTTCGGTCTAAATGTATTGACAGCAAAGAGTGATGTGTATGGTCTTGGGGTGGTATTATTAGAACTCTTGACGGGGAAGAGGGCTATTTTTAAAGCAGGCGAAAACGATGGTGCACCAATGAGCGTGGTGGATTATGCAGTACCGGCAATTATGGCCGGGGAATTGACCAAGATTGTGGACCCGAGGGTCGGGCCACCGGAGCTCAACGAAGCGGAGGCGGTGGAGCTGGTGGCGTACACCGCAATGCATTGTGTGAATTTGGAAGGCAAAGATAGGCCGACCATGACCGATATCGTTGCTAATTTGGAACGAGCATTGGCTCTGTGCGACGATAGTCATGGCAGCATATCAAGTGGTCCAATATCCATTGTTTCAGATTGAACTCAAAAACAACTCCAGGTCGCAAAATTTTCAGTTTTTTCTATTTATTCTTTTCTTTTTTTCCCCCCGGTCATTAGTAAGCAATTGATGTGGGGATTCTTTGTTTTGGAGTGTAAAGAGTAGGATATTTGTTCTAACATGGGACGTAGCCTAGAATTTTATGAACGCTGACGAGCAAATAGAAACAGCACCATGATTTATAATTTATTTTCATGGAACAGCTACACTACTGTATATCCTCAATTTCTTTTCTGTCTAGCTAAATGCTCATGTATGGGCTTTTTTTTTTTTTTTTTGGGTAATTTGGACTTGGTCAGCCTTAGAGGGGGCTTTTTATCCAAGGTTTTTATGGTTTCACAAATGTCCTTAAATAAATATTAGTATATTAGAACATGGGATGATATGTATATATATATATAAAACAAAAGAAGTCTAAAACCGTAACAAAAGTGGTCCAGCGGGGCATTTAAAACTTGCACGTTGGGCTAATTTACTTCCTACTGAGAATTGACTTTGAAAATTCCATTAAAAGCGGTCAATTAAAATCAAGTAGTCGCTCCAGATGATGACACCTGTAGGGCGGGCTCTCCTGTATCCTCCTCCCAAGGCGGACCCACCCTGAGTTGTTTTGTCCTCCTCTTCCTCCTGCACTGCACGTTGAGTTTCTATCGACTGTCTCCCAGGAAATGTGAACTCTTGCTGGCTGTGTTGCTGCTCTGGCGCCGCCGCCTGCAAAACATGTTTACTCGGTCCTCCTAAGTTTTTTAGTAGAACTTCCAAATGTTCGAGATATTTTAATTTTAATTTTTATATGCACCAAGATTTCAAGATAACCAGTGCAGTGCACGGAGGGATGGATTAAGTGATACGATAAAAAGAGATTATAAATGAGACATTTCGAATTCAAAGCTTTTCATTTAAATAATAATAAAAAAAAGTCGGACATGAAAATAACTAGTACATGACGTCTGTATTAGTACTGTCTAATGTTCATTTGGTAATTTATTGGATACCTTTCTTTTTATGAATTGTTAGTTTACACTAATAGCTAGTACATGATGTCCGTATTAGCACGTTTGTCATTCATTTAGCAATTTGTTATGGATAATTTTTTTTTTTATAAATCGTTAGTGTATAATTTTTTAATATTGATAAATTTAAATCAGGTTACATGACATAATTCAAATTGAAAATTTAAATTATACACGACGTCGCATACATACATCTAAAAGTTACTCCCTCCGTCCCACTTTGATAGTCTTGTTTTCCTTTTTCGTCTGTCCTAAATTGTAGTCCACTTTCCCATTAAGAAATGTAGTAATCTTTCAAATTGTCTAAAATACCCTTATTAAATATCTTGTTATTAATACATTGTTATTAAATACTAACCCACTACATTGAATACATTGAGCTTTTCTAATACTAACCCATTAGCTGTAACTGATATTAATTGGCACTCTTCGTGATTAGCATAAGGGTATTTTAGGAAATTATTAATCTAAATTTATGTTTCCAACTAAATTAATTACACTTTCTTAATCTGTGTGCAAAAAAAAAATCAACACTAACAAAACGGGACGGAGGGAGTAATTCATAGCAAAACCAATTCTTGAAAATGATAGAAGTAACTAACGTTCACCAAATTACTCCGGTGCAAACATTCTTGGTATTAAAAGTCGGGACAATGAATGGTTGGCGGTTGAGAGGTGGATTTGTAAATGGGCGGCCGCAGACCAGGCCTCCCCATGCACTAATTCCTTGCTTCCAATTTGCTTGCAGCTCTTTACAAACATTTTTTTTTTTTTTTTTTTTAAAAGAAGAAGAAGAAGAAGAAATCCTTCATTTTTATTGCGGGGCGTAGATCTCAACGATGCACGTGAGGAGGATGTGATTCTATTGAACCCGTGCTAGTGAGTCGTGAGAAGGGGAAGAACAATCAATCTTCACAGTTACGGTGGAGTGCGCCGAGGTTCTTTATGGGAGGATCCGAAGAAGCGAGAGAAATTTGTGTTACAAATCCAACGTAAGAATCTACACTGCTGATAAATTATCTGCAGTGATAGCTACTATCATTTTCACGCCAGACACAAGATAGAACGTCGTACCACATTCCCAATGTAAAATTGGAGCTCGTGATATGAATACGATTGTGGATTTTGTCAAAGAAAGACTGAACATCTTCATTTGCCCTGCCCGTGTCTTGAATTCGTGAACACCCCATAATTATTAATTAAACAACTTTTTTGACTTTTCTTTACTTGTGACGTGGCTTCTGAGTCAATTGGTCCAAGAACTTGGTCTAACTCATCTTCCTGAATCCTGAGTCAGTCGTCTACTCCGAGTTCGAACCCTCTCACCTCGTCACAGCAATATTTTGGCAGCAAGAACCTGGGATTTAGCATAAGATAAAAAAGTCATCCAGATTTTTAAGTTGTAGATAAAAATAATTGTGTTTTTTCTGCACAGAAATCTTCAAAGCTTCAATCCTCTGTCTGGTAAAAGCTCTACTACGGTTGACAACTTTTGAGATGAGTGATTTGTGCGTTCACTTTTTTGACCCAGATAAGGAAGGATTAAGGAGGGAAGGCAAGAAAATTTCTCCATTCTCAAGCCCAGAAGTCCTACCTCTCAATTTCCCTTCTAAGACACCTTTGGGTCAAAGCTTACCGTTACATGAAAGAGAGAGAACCTCTAGATGGCCTTATTGAGTGAGTAGTAATAATTTTGGAACTCGGGCAATGCATCATTTGATTTGGGGTTCCAAATTCGCCCATATGATAGGGATTGGGGGATTGAAATGTTGAAATCAGGAATGCACTGGTAGTGTACCCCTTTTTTTTAAAATTTTGTTTTATTTATTTATTTTTTTAAAAAAAAGGTCTGTCCAAGTAATTGAATTGAACATTTTTCCATTTTCATTGTCGTTTAAAATAGCTGCATGAAGCCAAAGGGAAGTTGTTGCGCTGCAGAGATCCCCAACCAACCAATGATTACTACAGTGTAACGTGTACACTGTACACGACGACTCCTGCTCTTTCTTCGCGGTCAAAATTTTTGGTCATCTGATGATCCCGTCCACTTTTTGTTTGACTTGGTGAATTTTTTGTTTTTTTCAAAGCACGCTCATATTGATACCAAAAATAGAGTATTGAATATTGACTGAAGTATGACAATTGACAGGTCGGGGTAACCAACAGAACAGGGTGGGGTTAGCTTTGCTCATCCCAGGCAAATTGCTCGTTTGTACCACCTAATACGATCGAGCGAGCGAAATGGACATGCTCACGTAAATGGACAGCATCACAAGGAAGCATATATTTTCTTTGTTCTTAAAAAATTTAGAGATTGCAACACCCAATCTCCATACGAGTCCCTTTTTTTCATAGTGCAGATTAGTATATACCAGTTCTTTTGTACGAATAGGATAAATTGTTGCCGTTGAAGAAAAAAAAAAAAGTGAGGCTGGCTTGCTTATCCCGAGCAAATTGTGCGTTTGCATTTCTGAAGCGGTCCAATTTCTGTTTATCCCAACCAAATTTCTTTTTTAAGATTTGCCAAAGCCGAGAAAGAGCAAAGACGAAAAGGGAAGGCAATTAACAACATCGACCCCCCCCCCCCCCACAGAAGCTAGAAGCACGTCCAAGCCTCGTCGTTCATCCCTTATAGCAGCAACCCAGACAAATGGATGAAGATAAGGAGAATCATGGGAGGATGAGGCCTAGTTGGTGTTGGTGGTACACGCTTTGATTGTAAGTTCCTGTGGGGTGCGTCCACTAGAATTGAATCATTAAATGATGCACGCCCCGCTAAGCCAAACTCTCCATATATTCGGGAGGGGAAGATGAAGATGAGAGATGTCGGTCGGGCATGGGGTTATACAGGGCTACTTTGTGGAGACCACGCGGGGCTAGAGCTTTTACTCCAGCCACCGCCGTGTGTGCGCGCCTCCGCCTCTCTCTCTATTCGGAAGATATGCACACACCTGTTCCTGTTCCTGCTCCTGATCGCCCCTTCTGCCGCCCCTATTTATTGTTATCCAGACTTGTTCAACATCCACCAAGAACCTTTCAACAATCTTCTTTTACAAGTAACATTCCGCTAGGGGCCGTATTCTATTACTTCCATGCCTACAACAATCAATCTTCCTGTTAACTGGCAAACTCAATACGCGATCAATGGGGTTAACAAAGTTCTTCATGTGACTAAATAACAAATGGATAAAATCCAAGATTCTGAAACATCCTCTAGCCTAGTAATATATGCTCGGTAAGTCCTACACGGTGCAGCTTTATTAAAATCATTAAACAGAAAAATGAATTCTTTGATGACTGAACCCACTCTCACTCTATACTTACCTAAAACCACACTCCTTGACAACTGATAGTAGTATTACTACTACGTGCTAATCAGATTCGAGGGTATATTCTTCTTTGCCGTTGTAGTTCAGCTTCATTCATCCAATCTGACAGCCACAAAAGGCCATTGTATCCACAGTATGCTACTGCAATCAGCGTTACCAAAATGATGACAATCAAAAGCACCTTTCTCGTAGCACCACTAATAACCTGCCCAGCAATAACAGAAATCACCCTTAGTAAACCTACAGCAACAACAAACACAAAATGTCTCATTACTTCTCTCACGATGTGACAAACCTGCAGTCTGGAAGCTTTCTTGTCTTCCTGAACCCGCTCCCTTCGCCTTCTTCGTTTTGCTACGGGTTTCTCACCATCTGGTTCCTTTTTCTGTGGAAGCAGAAGAAAAGAACTAGAACTTAAATATCAAGCATCAGGCACATGCATCACAACATTTCCATCATGGCAACAACCTATACACAATACAAGGTGTCTAAACTCCATCAAAGAACAACTTGTCAACAAGAATAACATAATCAAACTTTAGGATCTCCCATTCTTCTCTAAAAATTTAATCTTCTTGAATTTCACATAGCAGTCCCAAAAGACTGGCATATTTGTTGATGCCAAAAGAATAGCAAATGTGACATTATCACATAAATCAACATATTTAACAGGAAGTCAGGAATTGCCTGTGTCACTACAGATTTACGAAGTTGTAACTCAGAATCAGTGATCTTCATTTTACTCCTGCAATCCGGATCACAAGGGAGAAGTCCAAGTCCAAATTGAGTTTTAGGCACATCTTTGGGATCAGACCCAGCATTCCTGTAGGCTTCTTGCACGTCTTTGCACGACCACTCCTTCTTCAAGGTCTGGCATCCGCACCGAACAATAACCTTATGCAAGGAAGATAAATAGTGAAATTCAAACTACTGGTAAAAGAGTCTCAAAGTGAAAATATTCGGAAAATCACAAGGCAGTAAGGACACAAGCACATGGAAAGTAGAATGATGAAGTAGTGCGCTGCAAAATTAAACTACAAAACTGTACTAGACAACTATAAACAAATTTAACTTCAGGATCATAATCTGAATTTTGCAGATTGTTTTGATTTTACAGAACGAGAATCCAAAACACATAGCTACATATGAGGAGAAATTTCCAAAAGTAGGAGAAAATGATTGTTCATCCACGTAACATAAAATTACCTTTTTGGAGCACTTGTCAGGTGATGGACATTGACCACGATGACAGATCTCTGGACATAGATGCGTACAGTTTGGTAGCTTTCTGTTGCGCCAAAATCAAAACTTTAACATCACTAAATTAGTTCATAAACTTGAGGTTTCATTTGCATACCTCTCCCAAATCTCAACAAAAGGATTTGATATTAAAGAAGGATTGAATTGCATATAATGCCTAAAGAATATTCCACACCCTTAAACATTAAAAGCAAACACATTCTAAGAACAGAGACTTAAAATGTTGGAAAACTAGCAGTAATTGAAATCTAAAATCATAACAACCATCCCAGGTGGTACTGTGGTAGCAACAATTCTCACTACATGACTGCATTGTAGCATAATACTAGGGTTTTTCCAAAGATAAGAAACCTTCAGTCCAAAATATATTCACCTTTTATTTTCACACAACACAACAGTACTAAATCTACTAATCAAATAAAGGCATGCTTTTTTCACACTGAGCTATTATAAATAGAGATAAAATTAAAGCCTATGTTACAGGCTGTACTTTCTATTTCACATCTCCTTTTCTTGCCCCCAGATCTTTTATGCTCAAAGAGTTCATCATAACTCCACTAATGAATAGCAAGCTCAATTGTAGGAAGAAAAATAGTCATTTCTATGAAGGAACCAACTACTACTTGTCGCCTAAACTGGCTTATGTGAGCCAATCCCCGATGATTTACTGCTGTTTTCTACAGATTACATGCAATTGTTATTCTTCTTTTTAGGGACAATCTATCAGAAGATTGTACTATAGTCTTCTAAAGCTTTATCTAAACCAGTCTATCCATTTGTTTCTTATAACTAGGCCTTAAAGAAATTTCACCTAGGAAATACTTGTACATTTTTGGCAAATAATTTCTTTTAACACAAAAAAAAAAAAAAACTCATGCAGGGAAGGGTAATAAAGTATAAAAACCCAGAAACAAAGATGAACAACAATGAAAGATAATGTTCCTGCTGGTAAAAGTTAAACTTCGATAAGGTCTCTTCAAAATGTCAATTAACATTGGAGTGCATATCACATTCAGTGATAAATGAATAGTTTATCATATAATTTTGGGAGCAAATTTTGCCTAAGAAATTCAGTACCGCTTAATTAATTCAAACGTTCGATCATTTGTTATTAAACGGTTTGAATATGTTAAGATCTGAATCCATTAAATTTAAGTGTTGAATTAAGTTATCAAACATGATCTAACTCTATTTATATATATATATATATATATAAAGATAAAAAAACATGACCATCAATATCATGTATACCATCACATCACAAAAAATATTACATTGTTATCCTAAATATTTTTTTATAAATGATCTCACATCCAAACACACTAGTGGTAAAAGGTTGATGTCCTAAACAAGACTTTTGGGTTCAAATTTTGCTGAATGTGAGTCGATCCAGATGTGATGTGTAATTAAATCATAAGTGTCCAACAATAGGTATTGGTGTTAATCGAAGTTGCAAGGTCAAATTAGTTTTGCCTTATAGTGGCAGGAGAAGGTTTTTTTTTTTTTTTTGTTAATACAAATTCCACCATCTAAAGTAATTTTGCAATTCGATACTTAAGAACTTAAGGACAAAAGTTTGTCTAAGTTGAAGGACTAAATTGAAAATTTGAACATTAAAAGGATTTTGATCAATTTTGTACGCATTCCAAATCTCCAGGGCTCAAAGTCTCTCGGCTGGCATTGCAGGAAGGGGAAGGAAAAAGATCGATTAGACGGCCATGAAGCTGCTCCCCGCTGTACTTCTCTGGGCTCTGGTTCTGTTGGGAAGCCTAGCTCTCATTCTGGTCTGTACTCCTCCACCACACTGTTGTGTCGTCCCTTACGCTAGTCAGTAAAACCGCGATTTAATTTTTGGCTTTTTTTTCCGTTTCTCCAAGAACCGATTAGGCGACCCAGGAGCCACTTCAGAGCATCCTGAAGAACTTGCAAGCAGTCGGATTACCGAAAAGGTCAGCTAACTCTAGCCCACTTCACAGTTATTGAATATCGTAGGCATTCACTTTTAATTATTGACCTTTTCTTTCTTCTGAATTTTTACGTAGAATTATTTCTCTGCTAAAGCTTGAAATGTTTGATTTCCCGATTGAAAATCTTATTAGGCGAAAAATTTAGAGGATGAAGAAGAAGTGACTCACAAGGTCTACTTTGAGTTACAAATTAATGGAAAACCAGCTGGTATGCGCTAATACAATCTTTTTTCAGTTTTTATTTTCATTATTGAAATTTTTTTGTTTTATTGTCAAAATTTCCGGCATCATTTTGAATGGCTAATAAAATTGGAAGAAAGGATAGTACCGAATATATTCGTACAGTAGCATGTCATGATACAAACTTGAAATAAGTTATAGAAGCTTATAAGCACTCATCGATGCTTGAATTAACTGTTAAAAAGGTTTCTAAACATCTTTGCCTTTCTATTTTGGAATTCATTTTTCTGGTTGTAATGTTATCCTTGATATGTTAGTGTTTTCTCATTCTTTAAGTTATGTCTCCTTCAACGTGCTCTAGTGGAACCCAAAAAAAGGAAAAGAAAAAATGAGAGAAAGAGAAAAGAGAGTCATTTAGAGCCCTAATCTAAACATGAGGAGCATTACTTCAGTGAAGAATCAAATTCTCAGTTGAGATAGGCACGTTTGAAGCCTGTTGCGTTGAGAAAGCTAATTAGTCTTACTCTTGTTCTAGGAGGCGGACAAGTTACTGTCAACCGTTTCTTTTGTATTGACACATAAAACTTTGATAACTGAATAGTGTGCGAATGTATAAGCAACCACCATGTGTAAGTATCACATCATCACAGTTGTATACATGATATTGGAGAAAGAGCTTGTTCAAGATCACTTTGGATGGGGCCTATCTTTATCTGTTATATGAATGAGAACATATCGTTGTTTAATGTTCTGCTCTCTCCTGTTGCAATACCATTTCATGTATAGGATCATCAAATTCTATATGCCCCGAAACTCATACACCCTGTAAGAGAGTCATGGTGATTAAGCATTAAATTTATCTAATCATGGTGGAACATTGACAAATGTATACTTATTATGAGAAATTGTTATAACTCACCAACCAGTCTGGTTTTTCCCCTTCCATCTTGTACTATAATAAGTAAGCTGCTTTAAAAACTTGTCCATGTGTGATTTGGCACCCCCTTTTTGGGTATTCGAAATGGAGATCAGGCTTACATAGACCTTTATTTTGAAATTTGACGATTTAAAATGTTATGTCAATATATTCATTACTGTTTCCTTTCAGGTCGTATTGTCATTGGTCTTTTCGGAAAAGTTGTTCCAAAAACAGCAGGTAGTACTTGCTTGTATGAGTGTTATAGCTTAACTTTCCTTTTTGGTTTGTTTTATTGCTTTTGTTCACCTGACAGCCACTTATTTATTTGTTTATCCTGCAGAAAACTTTCGGGCTCTTTGCACTGGTAGCCAAGTAACTCGTGTTCCTTTTTCATTTTTTATTTCTTAAGATGAGGATTTAACTGATTCTGCGCATCTGCTTGTCATTTCAATAACCCCCCCCCCATCCCCGGCTTGTATGTATTACTAACAAGGACTATGATGAATGTATTGGTGAAAGACAATTGGCTAAATTGAAGGGGAAGTAAACTGTCCTTTAACCAAGAAGTTAAATGGTCTAAAATGCTTTATGAAAAAAAATTATTGAGAATTTGTGTTGGAAAGGAAGATGCTTAATCTTATTCTTGCATTTGTTAATCGTCTTGGAGGAACAGAAGCATTTTGTACTAATAACTTCTGCAGGTGAAAAAGGGGTTGGACGGAGTGGGAAGCCTCTGCATTATAAAGGAAGCTCATTCCATAGGATCATACCAAGCTTTATGATTCAGGGTGGTGACTTTACCCGTGGTGATGGGCGCGGTGGAGAATCAATCTATGGTGATAACTTTGCTGATGAAAACTTTCAACTGAAGCACACTGGCCCAGGTAAACTTTCTTAGTGCATTACGTGGCAACATTCTTTGGCATGTGTGAAAGCAGAAGCTGATTTTATTGAGAATTGGAACAAACTCCAAATAAATGAGGCCGGCAGCACCTGGCTTATTAATGTTTGATATCATTGTTGTGGAACAGGACTTCTCTCCATGGCAAATGCTGGACCAGATACAAATGGATCACAATTTTTCATCACAACAGTCATAACTAGCTGGTAAACTGTTCTTGCTAATTGTCAGTTACTCAGTAGAGCATTAGTGAAAATTTGCACGGAACTCATTTGATCTTTATACTGTGTCTAACACGTCACTAAATGCTGCCTTAAAAAATATGTAACTACATGTTTAAGCATATCCAAAGTACATAATGGTTATAGCATCTGACCTTTGTGGGAGAACTATAACGTGGTATCCTGGAATGTGGTTTGCCATTTTATATCCTCTTTAATATCCCCAAATCTGCTTTTCAGTTCTGGAGCTATTGAAGTTTAACAAAGTATTCTTTTCAATTCTTCTTAAAGGTTGGATGGGCGTCATGTTGTGTTTGGGAAAGTGCTTTCTGGTATGGATGTTGTCTACAAGGTCGAAGCAGAAGGGAGGCAGAGCGGAACACCCAAGAGCAAAGTGATCATCACAGACAGCGGCGAGCTAACATTATGAGGACCTGCGATAGCAGCATGAAACTTGATGCTGGACAATCGTACACAGAATTTAGGCACTTGTACCGTGTGAAGCTTACATTGGATCTTCAAAAGAACCGTTCCAACTTCACCAAGTCTCTGCGCATTGTGCAAGATTTTCACTGGCAAACGCCCTATGTAATACTACTGCGCTTGAATTTCCAAAGACACTGTGTGAAGTTTGTCATTAGGAACCTTCTTGGTGATACCGTTGGAAGCTTGCTCGAAGCATGCTTTGTTGTAGTTTTTAACATTTCCAATGCGGATGCTAGCTTCTACCACTAACTGAAAAAGCTTCGAGGCCGACTCAACGTTAAGCTTTTGTATAAGCGACTAAAACAATTCTTGTTCCTCCCCTTAGCAGCGCACAATCACTGACAGCATATTTAAAAGGCAAGCCAGCGAGAAATTTTTACTGGTGTAACGTATAACATGATGAGAGTTGCTTTTACCAAGACACATGATACCGGCAGCAAATCCATCTCAAACGGGCCGAAAGCATGTCAAATCGGCTAAGTGGAAATAGGGGTGGCGAATTGTGCCAAAAACTGATTTTTATTGACGGTTTCGACATGGAAATCGGCTTAGTCTTCAATTTCTACCATGCAAAATCTGCTTCTAAATCCTTTTTCTCCATTGATTAAACCTGGGTTTATGGCAATTCTTTTACTGCAACAATTTGTTACTAAATCGGCCTTTTTTTTTTTGGGTCACTCATTCAATCACGCATAGGACATCACTTCTAATTAGAGGTGTCAAAATGGGTGACTTGGACGGGTTTGGGTTGGGTAAAATGAGTAATGGGTATAAGTGAGTCAACTCATTTATACCCATTTAATTAGATGGGTATAAATGGGTAAGTCAAAAAATGAATTGGATAATCCAATTACCCATTTATAACTCATTTATTTTAACTTTTTGCAAACTCATTTAAATTCATTTTTGCAAACTAAGTTATCAATTTATACCACTCTTTGTACCCATCATTAGTTTTAAATATTTACTTATAATGTTCAATAAACTTAATTACCAATTTTTTTCATTTATACTCTATGTCACAAAATTACCTATTATTTAATAATTGAATAATACGAATATAAAAATTTGAATTAAGTACTATAAAACTTAA